CCGCCAGCGCCGTGATCGCGGCCGGCGGAGACAGCTGCGCAACCGCGCTCGCCTGCACACATACACTCACATATACAATGTTATCACGCCTTTAACCTAAAGGGGTAGGCAGACTTGCATTAAGCTCGATTCTAAAACACCTCTCGTTTCTTTCTGTTCTTGTCTAATATCTATGTACTTGAAACTACTTATTTACGTCGTTGAAAAATTGTAACAAAAAAGAATCTATCAAAAGTCTTGTCATTTTGCATTATTTAGTACTTTTAAGAAACATACCTGATATCCTTGCGGGAAGGTATGCGTGCCGGCGCGGAGTGTCAACTGGTCGTGTCCCTTCCACACGAAGCCGTCGCGATCAGACACGATGTTCACTGACATAGACTGACAAAGAAACACATATATAAACGATAAACTGAAAACACTCATTGGTAAAAAATCGAACTACAGTCATTATATTTAAATGTTATGCGACAGTGGCGCCACAAAATCCAAATACAACATTGATTTTAAAAATATTTCATGTTATATTAAATAGTAGTTATATATAATATAATATCCTTAATTTTAATATTTATAATATAATATCTTACTTTAACTTCCGCAGTGCTAGCGGTAGTCTTGAGGCTGGCTACAACGATGTGTCCTGCCGCTCCACCAATCGTAAGCATACCCGATAAGGGACAAAGTATAACCTATAAAATAAAAATTTATTTTATTATATCTTACTAATATTATAAATGCAAAAGCTTAGATGGATGGATGTTAGAGTTTGTAGCCTAACCTCTCTCTCGATGAAATCTGGAATACATATTTTTTTTATAAAAAAAGGTGGCAAACGATCGGCGTGAACACCAAGGTGGTCAACGACGCCCATTGACATCCGCAACAATATATATATAGAGGATAGTCTAGAATACATAGGCTAGTTAACTTTGTTTTTTAATTCCACACGGACGGTATCGCGGGCGAACGCTAGTTTCACCATAATATTTCCTTTCTTTGGTAACATTGTAGCTGTTTGGCTTTTAAATGTAGATTCTGTACTCACTCGTTTAACAGCTAGTCTCGGATCATCGCTGTAGGGGTCAAATGTGCCGACACGTCGGAATGGCGGCCATTCTTCCTCGTCATTTTGACTATCGTTATTCTCGCCTATTTCTTCACCGCTACACAAGGAAGATACAAGATTAAGAAAATTATTAAATGTTATGCCTATTTTTGGTATTTAATACCGTTTCAAATTTGATACCGGGGTTATAAATCGCATTATACACCTAAAATCGATTTTATTTTTATTAGGCTGTTTACATGTTACCTTTGACGGATAATCTTCAAGTTAGAAAACAAAAAGGCGCCTAACACGAAAAAACCTTTGAAGGTATTGATTTTTCGGCAAAAAATCGGAAGGACATTATATTAAAATATCGTTTTTTTTACTACTTTTCCTTATTAATAAACAGTAAAGGATACACTTACATAATTTGAAAAGAAAAATGAAAATTTAATTTATTTCAAAAAATATAACAATCTACATTGTTCTATGTATCAATCTACATTTGTTTTAAAAAACAGGTTTTTATAGGTTAAGTGTTACCTATTTTCATTTATTTTGAACACGAGCAATCTTCAAGGATTTTTCTAATTTCGCTTTATAATATTTTATAACCATTATAGTGCAGTGCAAGTTAATTCTTATATTGCCTTAATTTCATTTGTTATTGCCTTTAATGTGCGAAGGCGATCGTGGATCATTCACAGGCTTCCTTACTGTATATTATAATACTTGTTTTGTGCGTTGGTAAATAGTCTGTGAGGTGGTATTAATTTTCATTTATAACATTGTGCTTAGTGGTTTTCTAACTTATATTAACTAATAAACAAACACAGATATATCTGACTTTTATCTTTTGATTTTTTTTTAGTTTTTATTCAGTCATCATTTATTATGCGTTCCGTTCCACGTCCGGAATCAATTACGAATGTACCGCGTTCCGTTTCTTCTGGTTTGCCCCATTTCTCGTATTAACGTTATAACTTTTTCAATAAACTAACGTTGTTAATTAGTTTTTATCACAAATTACATTTATATTAAAACATATACAATATTAGACAAGAACGTAAGCGTTACTAATTAACAGGGTACTTTATATACAGTTATTTAGTTATAAATCTAAAAATAAATAAAAATATAGCAACACTGTACTTGAAGTAACAATAACTAAGACTTCTAAAAAATTTAATCTTCTTATTAACACAATAAATAATATAGACTTATACTCCCAAAGAGATATCAATGGCTACTTAAGCAATCCCTTAGTGGAGATTAATAAATTTACACTAAGGCACTTAACAATTAACAACTCTGACAACGCACTTCGTCATTAAAGGAACTTGAGCAATAAATTTGAGAACTATTGAATTCTACTCTAAGAATCTATACACTTAACAATTGTGAGTACGACATATAAATGCACAAAAAAACATAAACTGCAACAAACAATTGTTAGCATAAAGCATATTTCCATGCTTAGAGAAACCGATGTTTACCTCGTCCTCGATCGTTTCAGTCCGCTTTGAAGCGTCGCAAGCGAGAAGCAAAAGTTCAATGGTTAGATATCAAGCTAATGGTTTTTAATATATGATACGTATTATATTTTTTAATAATCCTTCAAAGCTACTAAACCGATTTATAGAGATAAATTTTGATTTTTAAATATTTTCACTATCGAATGGGACGGGAAATACAACACACCAATCTCTCTACAATGGATGGGTGACATGATTTCGTGACCGCTATTAAACTACCATCACCAAATAATGTATTTAAATATTTAATAAAAAACATACAAAACAATTAAATCTTGCGTTTGTAAAGTATCCTCATCAAAGCTTATAAAGACACGCCCATAACTCCTCCCACCGAGTGTTAAATTAGTGTAATTCTCACCTAAACAGCTGCGCGGTAGTATACTTGTAGAGCGGTGTCATGGCGACGCCGCTGACGTCCCAGAAGCGCACGGAGCCGTCCTCGTGCCCCGTCAGCAGCAGCTGCCGCTCGCCCGCGCCCCCCGACACGCCCTCGCACACGCCCCCCGAGATAGGCCACGCCCCCTCGGAGTACACGTTCTCCGTCTGCTGCTGACCTGTTACATCACTATTACTTGAGTATAAAAGCACTTCAGTTTATTTTTGATGTGTTACTATTGGTAGTTTAATAAAGTACAATTTGGTATGCCTAAAAAAATGAAAAGTTATAATAGATACGTATTTTTGCTTTTATATTCTACTAAATAATTTAACATTTATGAGATTATAATCACAGACATTAGAAACAGTTCAATATGTCCAGGATTCGAACCCACGAGCACTAAATCTAGACCAAAACTTGCTTTTCATTTCGCGACCTTAACTGCCGAATACTAAAACATCATTTAATTATGGAACAACTTATTTAAGGTGGCCTTACTCCTAATTCCTTACAAAATTTTAACAATGACATATTGTAAGCGTTTACGATGGAAGCGATATATCTAAGTTTCGTTTCAGTAATGTGCCGTAGTATTCTTACCCGCGGCAACAATATTGTCATACACATTATGTGCAACATTGTCGACGAGCTGTGCAGTGGTGACGGCCGACGCGTGCACAGACACCAGGTAGGGCAGCCGCAGCGGCCGCCAGCGCGCGTCGCACAGGTCTATCACAACCAGCTCCTCTTCCGCTAACACCACCTTTACACAAATATAATACGAACGTTATATTATGAATGCAAAAGTTTGGATGTTTGAGTTTGTAGCCTAAACTGTTGAACACATCTCGATAAAATTTGGCACAGCTACAGCTGTGTACTTCCAGACTATAAAGCGTAAACACACATTACTTTGTGGCGTAGGATATCAACAATCACAGTATATTTTTGAATAATTCTCTCTTTAATAAAAATCACTATACTTACGCTTTAGGCTATATATTTTCACTATTAAACTTAAGGGGGTAAATAAATTGGAAAAAACCTTCACGTGGTAAAGAGACCATAAACAAGCTGACAACATTAAGGAAGCAAGGTTATTATGGTAACGGTAATTTTGTCATTTGCAATTAAGAATTTGTGATATGTAACGATAAAGTTTTTATAATTTGATGCGGAAGCCAGTAAGATGCGGAAACAGCTATTAGTCCGACGTACCAGTGCCGCGGCGACTTGGTTGACGGTGTGGTGCGCGAGCAGCGCGGGCGAGCCGGGCCGCTCCTCCTGCAGCGGCGCGCCGTCCGGCGGCACCGGCGTCGTCGTGAACATGTCGATCACCTACACAAGTATACACACAAACAATAAGTCACACTTGGGATATAGTACAGTAGAACCTCGGTAACTTAAAAACTTGTATAACTTCGAAAAATAATATGTCCCCTTCCCATCAGAGCCCAAAACCTCTACAACATAGACCCCTGATAACTTAAAACCTCTATAACTTAATATATTTTGTGTTTTCCTTGGACTTTAACTTATCCAGGTTCTAATGTATTATTAATTTCTACTAATATTATAAAGAGAAAAGATTTGTATTTTTGTATGTTTTGAAATAACTCAAAAACTAAGGAGCTGATTTAAAAAAAAAATCGTTAAGCATTAGAAAGCTACGTTATCAGTGAGTAACATAGGCTAATTTTTTTAATTTCTTAATTTCACGCAGTCGAAGTAACTAGCAACAGCGAGTAATCAATACATGCAACTATTTCGTAAAACTGGGTACGTTGTGAAACTTGAATTTGATTTTTTTTTTGCCTAAATATAACATTTAAATTAATATTAAATGTATACTTAAACAAATTATTCTTGCAATTTTACTATGTCTAAATTTATATAATAACAATCAATACTAACACGGCTTGTGAAGTCGAATGCCACATGCTTGTCGCCTTGCTGCACTGTCACTGTATATTTGTCGGAATATGAAGCTCGAGGCATGCCACCTGAAAGAAACAAATAAAAAAAAATGTTTGATTGTAATGAATAGGATCAAAAACTATTGGGCCGCTTTTAAAAATTCTTTCACTGTTAGAAATTCATCTGTGAGTAACATAGGAGATATTTTATAATTTTTTTAATACCACGCGGACGGAGTCTCGAAAGCTAGTTTTTTATTATATTATATTGTTAAATTACAATTAATTGTTATCTTATTCGATTGGATAAGATACGAAATGAGTATATTAGAGGAAGCTTGAGAGTAGCCCCAGTGGTTAAGAAAATAAGGAGTAAAAGGTTAGAGTGGTATTGGCATGTTATGAGAAGGGATGAATCGCATGTAACAAGAAGGATGTTATGAATGTGGAGGTACATCGGTAGAGGTAGACCTAGAAAGAGATGGATGGATTGCGTGAAAGGTGACATGATCAAGAAGAGAGTGATGACTGAGATGACGGATGATAGTGCTTTGGAGGACGAAAACCCGGTGCGCCGACCCTACGGGAGTAGGATAAGGCAGGGGAGATGATGATGTTAAATTGCGAAGTGACTAAAGTTAATGTACAGAAAACAAAATTTCCTATGCATCCCCTATCCTGCGATTTCCCTTCCATTTTAAAATAATTGATTTTAAATAATTACCGGCGTATATGGTGATTTCTTCATTATCAACACTGGTCCTGATGAGTATTTTGGAGATGGCCTTGCAGGGGTAAGGTCCGTAGGGGGTTATGGGTTCCTTTAAGGGTCTGTCGCTTGCCGCTCCTGCCACCTCCCACGTCACGTAAGAACCATCGTTATGTGAGGATGTGAAATGTTCGCCTGGAAAAAAATACACAAGTCAAACATATTTTAGGACAATATTCATAACATCTATTCTGTTGCATATTTGACTAACTTTTGATAGTTCAAAATAAAAAAAAAACTCGTAGTATTGAGATTATAAGAGAAATAAAATATTTAATATTATGATTCAAGTAAAATAATTTTAATTTTTAACTTCTTAAATAGCATTTTAGCATCTTTTATAATCTCTAAATAAGTTTTAGAAAACTATAAATTTATTGTTACCATCATCATTCCAGCAGAGACTTTCTAACTGTTGGTTGGAGACGAAGGTGTGTGTAGGCGAGGCGGCTGTGCGGTCCCACAGCACCACCAGGCCGCGGTTGAAGCCGACCAGGATGCGTGTAGGTACTTTAGGATGCTCGCATATCGCCTCCACTGCGCCCGGATTCACTTTGAAATCTTCTGGACAACTGGAATATCATGCAAATATGTTGAAAATGACTGTTAAAACACCTTCTGCATTTTTACACCAAACTTAACAATACATTCAAAATGTTTAAAGTATAAATGACTCTATAATAGAAGATGTCTTTTCTGCCGATGGCCATTTACACTAATTTAGACAACACTAGCTTTGGCCCGCGACTCCGTATGCGTGGATTTAAAAAAAAATGAGTAGACTAAGAGTCCTTTCAGACTATCCTGCGTCTATGGCAAATTTCAGCGAGATCCGTTCAGCTGTTTAGGCTACAAACTCTAACAATCATCCATCTAAACTTTCATATTTATACTAGTAAGAGTAAGATTATGCCAATATAGATAAATCAAACCAATGAAATTATAGTCTTTCCGTTAAGATACAATTTACATTTTTACAAGCTATTAAATAACTTACTTTTGCATAACAACATCCTGGTATATGACATC